TGAATTTTTAAAATGTAAAAGAAAATATATGGTTTGGTGTAATTTCCTCAATAATATAATTATAATATAATTTTATTATTAAATTAAAATATTATTTATTTTTTCTTCTCAAAATTTTTTGTGCACAACATGGGCCATCTTCTAGAATTGATGGTTTTTCAATTAAAACTTCTATCTGTCTGTCCAGACAGGTTGCATCTCTACAAGATACAAATTTCAATAATTGTGTTTCGTGTTTCATTCCAAATCATTCAATTCTTTCATGCAAAAATAATATTCATTTCTTTCCTACACTATTTCGAATTTTGTATTTTAGCCCCCGTTTGTTTTTCATTTTTCACCCATAAACATGAAAAATATTATCGTTATCTATCATATCAAGCCATCAATTTGAATTTATATCTCTTGTGTGGGGCCCAATAACAACTATATTTTTCATTTTCATTCTACAATAATGAGAATCAAACGGACCCTCAATCTCAAATATAATTTTCTTACATTTTTTACGATTTAGAGAGATCAAAGCATTAGTAGGTTCGTCAAGTCTCATAATTTGGAATACTAATTTTACAAATAGAGATTGTTGTATTTGATAAGGAAAATATCAATTTTCCCATACCGTGCAGAATCAGTCTTCTCTAGCAAATTCATTGCCTGATCGCAAGGAATCAATATTTTCAAAAGAGGAGCAGCCTCAATCCTCTCTAGCAGATTCCTTGCATGATTGCCTTTGCAGCCTCAATCCTCTCCAGAAGATTCCTTGCTTGGCTGCAAGGAATTCCAAAAGAAGAGCAACCTAGAATCACGACCATTGTTGAATGTAAATCCCATATTTAGGGATCTCATTTATTGTTGAACATGTATGTCTATAATATATTAAATATCGCATCAAGTGATAATCTTTTTTTGGACGATTTTAGCCATATCACAATTTGATTATTTCAATAGTACCTCACTTTTTGTTTTTCAATATATATTTAATTAAATATTAATTATTAAACATGCACACAAATAAATAATTGAATTGTATGTGAACAATCAAATTGATTCATGAATATGAAATTTAATTAATTTGAATCAACGAACATAGAAAAAGAATAATGTATATATATTTAAACAAA